CAAATGGACACAAACTGCTGCTGTTCCTTATTCCTTGTGGGTATGGAAAGGAACACACTTTTACATATCAATATCTGCATAGCATGTACTGAAGGCTGTATTAATCTTCTCTAGTAAAGATATTCCATCCATCACAACAGCTGCAAGGGGCTACAACTTGGTTAAATTTGTGTTAATTCACTTCCATCTGGCAGTGATCCATCTGATGTTTGCAGAGAAAAAAGACCCACAGAGCCTGAAGTTGTGATGACAAGAAGCCCAGATTCCCATGGTCATTGGGAGTGATGGTGGGCATGGCTAATCCTACTTGGTTCCCAAACCCATATGTTCTTACCTACTGGGAAAACAGCATCACATAAAAACCATTGGCTTAAAAGGAGTATATATCATGTTAAAGAATACTGCTCCATCTCATAAAGTATCATTTACAAGCTAGCAAAGTACTATTCCAAGCAGGTGAATTAAATGGGAATAAGAGGGGAACGACCACCCCTTCATCACTTAAGTCTTCAGAATGGTACTTTGAGGATGCTCCTGATTTGTGAGACTTACAGTATAAACATATATCTGTGTGTGCGTGTGTGTGTGTACACACACCTACAAACGTACATGCACATACACACACACACACACACACAGAGAGAGAGAGCTTAGAAACAGGGTCTTGTCTATTACCCAGGCTGGAATGCAGCAGCATGATCATAGCTTACTGTAACCTCAAACTCCTAGGCTCAAGTGATCCTCCCACCTCAGCTTCCCAAGTAACTAGGACTGTAGGCATGTACCATTATATCCAGCTAATTTAAAAAAATTTTTTTAGAGATGAGGGTCTTACTATGCTGCCTAGGCTGGTCTTGAGCTCCTGAACTCAAGCAATCACCTGCCTCAGCCTTCCAAGTAGCTGAGATCACAGGTGTGAGCTACCACACCTAGCCGCAATGTTGTTTTTAGGTACTATCTTAGCTTGAGGATGGGGTTGGGAGATAAAAACAAGGCTTTATGCTTGCTGTGGTGTTGAAGAGTCCTTCCTCATGGGAATCTGGACTTTCATTCAGCCAACAGGTTCTGGGACTGAGAAGCGGCTCGGATCTAGAAGCTTGGCAAAGTATCATGTCTTTCCATTGGTCCAGCTGGTCTCAGCCTTCTGCTGGTTTATACTTGCTCACTTTTTATTACATATATTAAGCAATGCTTTTGTTGTGTCCCCATCTATCTTGCTCCTAGAACACTATGTTCTATTAATCATCCCCATCGAAGATTCCTGTGGGGCAGGCCCCCTTGTCTCTCATTCCAACCTTCCTGCCCAGTATAATTATACCCATCTTGCTTTTGAGAGTTAAGTGCTATTCCCCAGACTTTGGTAGTCTGGGACCCAGTCATCCACATTGAGAAGAAGGAATTTGGTTTTGTTACCAACTGACAGAGGGTAGTCAATACTCAGCTTCTCAGTGACGCTGGTGCTCCCCTCATCAATTCTTTCCTTACTGTCTTGGTAAATGGAGTGCCCTCCAGCACCCACCACCAAGAAGATGATTAGCTGGTAGGATTTCTGGTCTTGTATCTTAGATCGTTCTAAGCATGCTTGCTTCCGTGATCCGTGTATCCTTCTTCTACAACCCACTACAGCAGTTCTGGCATTTCCACTTCATTTATTCTGAGCCATGACATTTTTCCCAGCTTCCAGTAGCTACACCAGCAATGTATTAGATCCATCTCCCAGGGCCCTTGCCAGGCTGTTGAATCCTGTCTCACAGATGGCTCCGAATCCACAACTCTCCCTCACCCAGTTTAATATTCTGCTCCTCAGGATCCCCACCCAGCCATTCTCTCCCAGTCACTAGTGACTCCTATGAGCTGGGTCCTACAGTTCCTTTGGTGATAAACCCTCTCAAAGATCCAGTATTTTCCCACTCAGATCATTCTGGGACTTGACCCTAATTATTGGGCAAGAGATCAGGAGGGGTAGTACAAGCAGGTCCTGAGGAAAGTATGCATTTTCTTGTAAGGCATCTGCATCTTTTGAGGTTTCTACATTGTCAGCAGATATGGTGGGGATGGCATGGGGGACTCTATTTTCCAACAAGGGCAAGTGGGTTCCTTCTGCAGTCCAAGTGCTACGGAGAAACTGAGGGTTCAAGGTTCTCGTGTGCATCAACTCATGTCTCAAGATCCCATTGTGAGGAAGCATGTTTCTGTTTCTCCATTCATCCTCAAGAGACTTCCTCTGACTCTATGCTAGAAGCAGCTCTCCTCAGTCTGAAGTCTACCTGAGACAGAAGAGTGGGGAGTGTCACAACTCCCTTCCCCTTTTCCCTTTGACCCAGGTCAGAGCTCCTCAAATTTTACTGTGCATAAGTATTACCTGCCTGGAGAGTTTGTTTAAAATTCAGATTCCAGGGCCTGATCCTCTAGATGCTACCTTAGGGAATCTGAGCCTGGCCAAGCATCTGTGTGTTTGCATAGGTAATTCACCTAGGCTGAGAATTCAGCCTCCTTTGAGTTCTGTGACTCTTACGATGAAGTCTTCTAAATGGTCTTCAGGTCTTCCTGTCCTCTATCTTGAGGAGATGAAAGTTTCCATAAACAGGCCCCAAGGAGGCCCTCTGGTTCTCACACTTTGCTTTAAATTGGTGATTGAGTGTCCTGAGCCAATCATTTTTTTTTCTCATCAAAGACATTCAGCAATAGCCACCCATTTCCATGGCTCTTGTAATTACTACATCTTCCATATCTTTCAGTGCCAGCAATACTGCTCAAGCCAGGACCTCTCCTTCCTCCTTTATTCTGTCCCAGTTCTCCATGAGTGACGATTTTAGCAAGTATACCCCTACTGCATGCTAGGGATCATCAGTCTGTGTCACACACTGAGGTCCTCATTGCCAGATGAACAGTAAATTATCCACCTCTAGAATTGTATCTTAAGATCTACTTTTGCCAGGCATTATGACTGAAAAAGGAATATTGCTTAAGCCCAGTAGTTCAAGACCAGCCTGAGCAATACAGTGAAACCTTGTCTCTACAAATAATTAAAAAATTAGTTAGGTATAGTGGCACTCACCTATAGTCTCAACTGGGAGGCTGAGGCAGAAGGATCATCTGAGCCCAGGAAGTCGAGGTTGCAGTGAGCCATGATCGTACCACTGCATTCCAGTCTGGGTGACAGAGTCAGACCACAATTCAAAAAAAAAATCTACTTTTAGGTAAACTGTCTGGTATCAACTGTCTGGTTAGGTACTGTAGAAGTGGAGCCTAAGACAAGATTCAGCTGCATGTGATATATTAAGGAAATGTTCTTCAGGAATACTCAAGGGAGTGAAGGAAACAAGATAGAGAAAAGGAAAGAGCAGATGTGGTCTCAGGTAAAATAAACCTTAAGTTGATCCTCAGAAGACTCAGAGGCATATACTGCAGACAAAGTTGTCCTGCTCCTTTGCGACAACAGGACCAGTCTTTTATACCCTTGTGTCAGTGAGTTGCTAGCTGTGAGCTCCCTGAGGGTGGGTGTGAAGGGTCAGAGCGTAGGTATGGGAGAGCAATTGTTCAGATCAAGGGTCTACTGGGAGCTGTTAGCAGCCACACATCCAGCAACTGGGAATGGGTACACCAGCCTGGTAAAGGGGTTTCTGGAAGGGGTACCCATAGTGTCTACTGCACTTACAAGGGTTTCTCAAATGTTTCAAAAACTTTGCAGCAGGGTGTGGTGGCTCATGCCTGTCATCCCAGAGCTTTGGGAAGCATAGCCTCGACCAGCCTGGGGAACATAGTGAGACCCCTTCCCACACTCCCTCTGGTTTCTACCCCCCAAAAATTGTTTGAAATTAGCTAGGTGTGGTGGATGTGCCTATAGTCCTAGCTACTCAGAAGGCTGAGGTGGGAGAAAACCTGGAGCCCAGGAGTTCAAAGTTACAGTGAGCTATGATTGCGCCACTGCACTCCTGCCTAGATGACAGAGTAAAACTATCTCTTAAAAAAATAATAATAAAACAAAACACATTACATATGGATGACTTTACATACACCTCTGTCTATTAAAACCTAATCTGGCAGTACAGTTTCTTATTTACATTTAGAATCTCCAATGCAAGATTCTGAAGTCCTCTGTGGCAGGGCCCTGTCCTATTTATCTTTGCATTTCTAATTCAGAAGCTAGCATGTAATTATTACCAAACAGACAGTTGTCAAATGAAGGGCAGTCTGGGGTCGATCACAGAGTAACTTGAACTCCAGGCTAAGTTGGGCGTTATTCTGTTGGCAGTTAGAAAGAGTTTAAGACGCTTTGTTGGCAGTAGGTGATAGGTATTGGACCAGGGAGAGAGAGGAGACCAGCACCAAGAGAACTATTGCAGCAACACAGGCAAAAGTAGCTAGAGGCAGAATGTGAGTGGAGGCTGTGAGTGTAGAGAGGCAGATGCAAAAGTAATTAGAGGTATTATCTACAGGGTCCAGATGGCCTCAGGCTGACATCCAACAAAGAGACCGTCAGGGATTCTAATCCATCAAGTGTGTTAGGAGTTTTGTACTTATATGCCCCTGGGCAGACAGAAAAGGAGCATTTCTCATGTTTTCATGGAAGAAATATCTAGAATATAAATCCATGTGGGTTTTCTCATTGTCATGAACAATTAAACAAAATCCATAAAGTAAGTATGGGAATATTCTTCTCCCTCCATATTTTGGCCAGAACTGCAGTTGTATCTGAGAAAACCCAAGGTCATCAATGTGGAATTGACTCAGTTCATTAGCACATGGGATACTTAAAATTAAAGTGGCTTCCAGTGAACTGCTTTCCAATCCATCATTCTATAAAGCAACATATGTTCCCAAGCTGCAGTATCAGCATGTTATTCTCAGCTGGATTCTGAACTGTTATCCCACTTGGATTAATTTATCTGTGACTCAGATGAATCATATACATTCCAGGACATATTGGGTGGGAGGTGTTTTCCTGAACTCTTCCAGAGCTTGACTGTAAAGCTATTTGCATTCCTCTCCCATTTTAGGGCTCCGTGACTTTTGACCAGGGGCCTGCAGTTCACGTTGTTTTAGGAGAGCAAGTTCCTGGGAACCATGTTACATGGACTGGACCTGGATTTGCCAGGGTTCTCCCTGGGGCTGGCTTGAGATTCACTGTCAACAACATTCCCTTTTCCATGGACTTCACCATTGCCATTCGCTATGAAACCCAGGTATCCCTCCACACCAACTTCTCTAATGGTAAAAAAGTTGACAGACGTACGTTCTCCAACTGTTTCCATTTCAGCCTTGCTAGAATAGGTTCATCATAAAAGGATTTGCAGAAAGTAGAACATCTGGAGAGCATTATAAACCCAAGGGTTTCCTAATAGAAGCAGTGCAGTGAGCCATGTGCTAGGATGCTGCATCCCCTGGAGAGAAGCGACGGTTGGAGTAAGGTTCCAGGTTTAAGAAAGTGGTGACTGAATGTTTGTATAAGAACAATAAGCAACTAAAATAACACCGATCCCACCCTCCTGGGATTTGTCTTCCAAAAATTTAAGAAGCCAGCCCAAGTGCAGAGATTCAGACTCATAGAGGATGCCACAGAGCCATTTGCTTGCATTTGGATCTACCTGCAACAAGAGGAAAGCCAAGAGCAGGCACAGCCGAACCTGTCTCCTGCCACTTGAGAAATATCTAAGGCAGAATAGAACCCATATTAGAAAAAATACTTGATCTAGAGAAGTAGTTCCTAACCTTTCTTTAAATCTGAAACACACTGGCTATCTCTCTTGCAAAATGTTTTATACATTTGGAGGGGTCTCTGGTCTCAGAGGCTCCAAAGCCCCACTAGAGATCACATTCTGGAGACTTTCACAGTGTTCCCCGATGTCCAGAGCTGCTGACCCACTTTGAAACGTGTGATATGACATAATTCTCTATTTCTCATTTAACGAATGCAAGTCAAGGTAGCTGAGCTCGATGGTTCATGCCTGTAAGCCTAGCACTTTGTGGAGGCCAAGGCAAGAGGATTGCCGGAGCCCAGGAGTTCGAGACCAGCCTGGGCAACATGGCAAGACGTTGTCTCTACAATAAATCAAAAAGTTAGTCAGGCATGGTAGTGCACGCCTGTAGTTCCAGCTACTTGGAAGGCTGAGGTAGAAGAATCTCCTGAGCCCAACAGGTTGAGACTGCGGTAGCCATGACTGTACCACTGCACTTCAGCCTGAGTGACAGAGTGAGACTCTGGCTCAAAACAAACAAAAACAACAAAATTAAGTCTAAGGGGACTTCATTGAACTTTGACTCAGCGAGTGTGATAAGAAAGCAATTAAAAAATAAAAAATAGATTAATTTATCTGCAGAAAAAATATATCCCTGATAGCTTTTAAAAGGTTGTTCAAATTGTAAGGCTTCCAGAATGTAGCTAATTAGCATTCTCTCTCTCTCTCTCTCTCTCTCTCTCTCTCTCTGATTTTTGTGAGAGAGAGTCAGAGACAGAGAGAGAGAGAGAGAGAGAGAGATTTCAAAGTATCATTATTTGTTCTGTGATCCAGGGACATGATTAATTAATTAATTATTTGAGAAATGGGAATTGGGGATTTGACCTCTCAGGAGGGTTACGGTTTTCCAGGCCCATGACCTATAGAAACAGCCAAAAACTGTTCTTTCTGCCTGGATCACAATTTGAACACCAGAGAATTGAGCCAGGGAGTGAACCTCTAAGACGTCTCTCAACTTCAAAACTCTGTTTTCCAAGTGGGTTATGGGTTGCAAATTTAATTCCATGCACTGTCCATTAGGTATATCAGTGTGCGTGTGTGCAAACAGTTTCCTGTATCCTCGCAGTGACAAGTTTTAATGTCATACCTGTCTAGTCTGCAGCCGACTGGGCTGCCCGGATCTTGGTCACCCCGCATGGAAGGAGTGAGTACTGCACACCTAAGTCCCCACAGTCAAAGCCTCAGCCTTTCACCTTACCAGCGGCTGCCAGGTATGCTCCGGATCTGTCCTCAAACATTGAAAGCTTCTTAGAATTCAATTAATATCAATAATTTGTATCCAGGAACTAAGTGGAAGAGAAGTATTGAAGAAAATTATAAGACTTACTAAATACCTGTGTGCAATATGCTTTATATTTAATCTCATGTTTAATCTTCATAACAATACAATCATGTAGATTTTGTCTTCATGGGATGAAGAGGAAATTGAGAAGGAGAAGTCTTAAACTATTAAGACTTACCTAGGCCTCATTGTTAGCGTGTAGCAGGATCAGGATTCAAACCCAGATAATCCTGACTCTAAATTTTGAATGTTCCTTTTCCAGTCCCCTGGTGACTTTGAAATGTAAGAAAATGAAATGCAACAAGAATAGAACATTCTCTTGAGTACTCTCAACAGCTAAGAGTCTAGGAAGTGAAAGGCTACTAATTTTGAGACCATTCATTTTGCCGTGACAGATAGGATGAAGGATACTTGTCTCTTTCTTTCCCCCAGAGCTGTCATGACAACCCATGGCCAGTAGTTTCTAACAGTTTCCTGTTTGGCACAATCCTATAGAAGAGCCATGGAGGATCTGGGTGTGAATTCCCTGTACAGCCAACATATCTGTGTTGGTTAGACCTGGACTGGCCTCAGCCCCACAGGGGAACCCATTGCACAGCATATGTGGAACACTACCAAGTACTGTGACCAACTAGATAATGTCATTGCACTTTTGTCGCTGAATTTTTGCTTTATTTCTCTTAATACAGAATCGTGTTGCTTCCCACATCCATCTGTTTGGAGCCAGATGCACAGTATTCCATAGACATCTATTTTTCTCAGCCTTTGGAAGGGGAGTCCCACGCGCATTCGCACATACTGGTGGATTCGGTAAGTATTACAGAACTTTGTGAGTGCTTCCTTTTCAGCTGGGCACCATTGCAATTCTACTTTTAGATTCTCTGGTGAAATGTTTCGTTAAAAATATAAATATAAATATTTGCTTCATTATGAAAGTCACCTAATGGCAATTGCAAATCTTATATAACATTACATCCAAGCAATGATTTGAAGTGTTGTACATTCTATATGATTTAATCTTCACAGCAACCCTGTGAGATAGGTGCTATCATGATTTTACAGGTGATGGAACTTGAGGCATAGGGTCACAGAGCTAGTGAGTGAGGAGACAGGAGTCAGAGCCACACTGCCTGGTGTCAGATTCCTGCTCTGAGCCACTACAGTATACTGGCAATGTAGGAAGTTTGGGGAGGAAATCAAGCCACTTTAATTATGATAATTTTCTAAGTTCCCACTTTAAACATCCTATGCTTCTGTGTCATTGTAATCAGAGTGCTTACACAGTAAGATATACAGATTTTTTTCACTTCACATTTCATCATAAGCATTTTCTTGTGGTACTTATACAGTCTTCTCAATTATTTTTTAGGAACCATGCACAATATTTACAAATGACTTCTTTCAGCATCTTTTCCCTAGAGTTGGACCATAGGCATTTCTTCTAAACCTCTTGCCTCCAGATCCAGGCTTGTCACTAGGCAGAGTTTGGGCATTGAGTAAATTTAGTTAATGTACTTATCTATTATCCTATTCATGTTTATATAAGTTGCTTCTATTTTTTTTTTTACTACCACGTGTGTTTGAAACATATTTTTAAAATATTTTAAAATCTGTTCCTACTTTACAGGAGGTTTTATGGCTCTTGAAATAATTTGTGAAAATATTTTCTAGAAAATATTCCCTAATTAATTTTCAGATTATCAGTAATGTAGGAAAGTACCAGCTTCATCCCACATTCAACAGCATTGCCTAGAATTTTATGAGATTTTTTAAAAGTAAATCATAGACAAAAAATCAAATTGCTTTGTTAAAATTGCATTTTTGAATAGTTGTGAAAATCTTCTAAAAATATTATTTAAGCTGGGCTCAGTGGCTCAGCCTGTAATGCCACACCTTGGGAGGCTGAGGTGAGTGGATTGCCTGTACCCGCGGGTACGAGACCCACCTGGGCAACTTGGCGAGACCTCATCTCTACAATAAATCAAAAAATTAGCCGGGTGTGGTAGTGCACGCCTGTAGTTCCAGCTACTTGGAAGCCTGAGGCAGAAGGATCGCCGGAGCCCAGCAGGTTGAGGCTGCGGTGGCCAGGAGCGACCACTGCACTCCAGTCTGGGCGACAGAGTGAGACTCCAACTCAAAAAAATAAAATAAAATATTATTTAATTGGCAGACTGCAGCCCAGTAATATTTTATTGGAGCACAAATGCCATGCCCATTTGTTTACATATTATCTATGTCTGTTTTCAGACTAAAAGGTAGAGTTGAGAGTTGAGCAGTTGCACAGAGATCTTATGGCCACATTTTATCTGGCAACCAAACCAAAGGTGTCCAAATCCTGCACCTGGAGAGCTGTGTGTTAGTTGAGGTGAGGTTCTACCCTATTATGTTATAAGTAAAGTCGAAAGTGGAAATGCATTCTTAAATGTGAAATCTCAACTATCATGATTTCCCTATCCATATAATTTATCTTTTCTGCTGAGGAGCTTTAAATAGAACTTCATTCATGAACCAATACATTAGCTACAAAAGAAAGAAAATCAAATCCAACAAGGTTAATTTAGGGGGAAAAATGATGAAATTTGGGCACCCAGGCAAAGAAAAGAAAGGGAAAGGAAGAAACTAAGATTACTGAGAGATATTATTATTATAATAATAGTCATGACACTTACACTTATAAAAGCCAACATACTCCTCATTTTAAATCCATATCCTAAATATTACTAGACTTTGTAAATTCCAAAGATTTTTACTTGATGCTGTATGAAATGCATCCATCCAAATTATCCATTCAAATCACCCGTTCTGCTGAGAGTACGTGAGCCAGGCACTGCTGATCCCAGGGTGTAAATATTTCTTGCCCTCAAAGAATTCTCAGCCTGATACAGTTTGTAAATAAAATCATTACAATGATGTTTGATAGATGCAATAAGTTATTGATTTGTAATTAATTAATTTTTAATATATCCATCTGGTCAGCTTTTGAGCAATCATTATCTTACAAAATGCTACGGGAAACCCTGAAACCTTAATAAAAATTAAGAGAGCAACCTAGTCTTGGCAAACTGTCAGAAACCTCAGAAAATGCCCTAGATGACTGTTTGTGAAAATATTTTCTGGAAAATATCCCCTAATAAATTGTCAGGATTATCAGTAACATATAAAAGTGCCAGCTCCATCCCGCATTCAACAGAATTGCCCAGAATTTTATGAGATATTTTAAAAGTAAGTCATAGATGAAAATCAAATTGCTTTGTTAAAATTGCATTTTTGGATAGTGGTGAGAATCTTCTAATAATATTGTTTAATTGGGAAACTACAGCTAGGATTCCCTAGGAACAGAAATGAAGACAGAGACTCGGGTACATATGATTTATTGGAGGCTGTGTTCCTGGGAGGAGAGAGGGAAATAGGAAAGGGCAGGGGAAGGAACCAAGCAAGAATGTGCTCTTCACTGAAGGGTGGCTTCAGTCTGGTCCCACAGGGAGCTCTGGAGACTGGATTGCACTACAGAGTTGAACCCAACTGGAGGCAAAGGGGTGGGCTTACATGTGCTGCAGATTCATCACCCCTGGTACCCACCCCTCAGTGAGTACATAAAATCTTGTACCAGGTAGCTGAGTATACTTTTCTGAATAAGGAGACAGCGGTGAGCCTTTAGGATTCAATACCACAGCAACTGGAGGATGAGTACACCAGCCTACCAAAGAGGATCCAGGTTGGGCATCTACAGTGTCCACTGAAGTCCCTAACCCACAGTGTCCAGTAGGAGAAAGTTATTGCACATTTCACTGTTACAGACTAATGTGATTATAGCCACACCATTAATTTTGCTGTTCGGAAAATAAGAGTCTCGACTGCTTGGGATTTGACCCTTTCAAAGTTCTTTCTTCTCTGCAGCCAGATTAGTACATCTAAGACCAGATGACATTACCAAAAGACCAAATGAAATCTTTGTTCAACTGTGGGTGCTCCTTCTGCACAAACTCCTTTGGTTTAGCAAGCACAGTGAGAAAGCTGGAATTGGTCTTTAGTTGCCCAGATTATATGATATGGACTTCCAGAAAACTCTATTTAGCGTCAAAAGTATATTAGGTATTCTAGAATATAAAACTGTCATTCTTCTTTTTAAACTGTGGAATGGACTACACTTGGTAAACATAAAGTCCTTAGAAGTTTCTAGGAGAAGTGAGTCATGGCACTACAAAATCCTGTAGCTGACAGGGACTCTTGTCTTCTGTCTCTATCTGCTCGGTTCTGGGAATGGCCAACTCTTCCTGGCTCAGACCAATAGTTGTAAATAATCTAGTTGGCTGCCCTCATCTCAACCCTAGCCCATCTGGCTTTCTTCTTTGCCTCCCCCACTTGGTTTGTGTTTAGAGAATACAGTCATTTTAGTATCAACTCAAAGTTGCAGTAGAAATGTAAATATTCTTCTTTATCTAACAAATTTTTATGAAGCACTTACTATAAATTAGACACTGTGGTAGGCACAGATATAAACAAGACACGCACCATCCTTGCCGCCCCAACCCCGGGGCTTCTTTCTAAAGGGGAGATTCATATAAGCAGGCAACAACAGCACAGGTGAGAGGTCCTGGGAGTTGGAGCAGGGCATTGACCCAAAAGGCTCGGTGTGACTTGCGCAATGGTTCTCAACCTCATCTGACCCAATCTCCCCTTTTATTACATATATTTTCTTACATTCTTTACAATTTTGAAATGAAATTAATAGATACTGTAGCCTATCTACATATATAACTTCCAAATAATATCAGTGGAATGCACTAATATTAATACAGAAGAAAAATAAAAGGAAAGTGATAGACAAAGAAATAATCTGTACTTCAATACACCTATGGCACCGGTATAAATACACCAGAAGACACCATGAAGTGGGAAGATGCTCATATGTGAAGTATCAATATGCAATGGGGGGGACTCAAAAAAACCTGAAATTAATTTTTGGAAGATGGGTCCTTTGTAGTACAGGTCTCCCTGCTAGGTGAGTATTCTAGGAATCCATCAGCATCAGCTAGGATTGTTGTGAGAGGCTGCATTTGGCTTCAGTGATTTTTTTGTTTTTAAGATTCTTTCAATGTGTTTGCCCATTTCATGATGGGTGATTTATGAGCGCACCTGCCTACACCGTGCTGAGTGTTCTGCAGTTTTTGACCAAAAATGGAATTGTTAGGTCAAGTCAGATGGGGGTGGTCTGTGATTTAGTGCTATGGGAAAGATGCAAAGAATTGCACAAAAGTTAGATTGGAAAATACCATTTATTTAGAAAGTAAATTAGAGAGAGAGGAGATTCACCTCCCCTAGGTAGGGGAGGGGGCTAAAGCTAGGGAAACAAAGTGACCATAGCGCAAAGAGCCACATGGCCAGAACAGATCTTAGCGAAGCAATGGCAAATGGCTGCTTGAGGTTGAATACTTTAAAACCTTCCCTTTAATGGGGGCCGATGGTTAAGGTGATTGGGTGGTGGTCTTTTTCACATGAAGGGGCAAGTGAGCACAGGTACTAGCATCAGGTGATGGACAGCAGGGTTAATGCAGCAGGGTTAATCACATGACTGTTGCCATGGTGATGGGGTCTGAATGGCACAAAGGTTAAGGCTGATTAGGTTAACTTGACTTCTTATGGCTGAAGGCAAACACTTGAAAGAAAAGCTAATTAATACAAAAGCTGGGGAGGGTGTAGTAAGACAATTATCAATAGCTACCTCTGAGAAACTGGTTCTGTCCTTGATTAGAGGGCAAGATAGGTAAGTTAAGAGAATACAACAAAACTAGACAATGTTAAAATGGCTGCTTTCGGGGTATATCAACTCCATCTTGGCCTTTCAAGCACTAAAAGGTATCAAAATTTGACAAAATTGACCAAAAACTGTTTTGAGCAGTGGAAAAAGCATCTCGATAGGTGAATTGCATCAAATGGAGAGTACTTTGAAGGTGACTGAAGTTTCTTCTATAAATACCAGGTTTCTTTGGGACCCCTTTTGTATATGAAATAGTCATGAAAGCAGGTATGTTGTAAATATGTTTACACATTTAAAAAACAGAGAGTTAGGCTCTTAACTCAGACAATTCTAAACAGGGTTTCTCTTTCATGGATATTTAGTGAAACATTCAAAAACTGTAGGAGACATAGGATCATTTTTGTTTTGTGAGAATGTCTTGCATTTCTGACCCCCACCTGCTGAATGCCAACAATGCACACCACTCAGTCACTGTGGCCACTGAAACCACCCCCACGAATTTCGACACTGCTCCCTGGTGGGACATACCTCCCACATTGAGAACCACTGGGCAGAGAGAAGGGGCAAAGAGAGATATCAGAATAAAAAGAGACGAGGTCGAGATTTTATCCTGATGCGATGGGAGCCACTGAAAAGTTTTGAGAAGGAGATTATCTGGACAAACTGAATTTAAAAGGATTACTATATCTATAGTGTAGAAAACCGATTGAGGGGTGGCAGGAACGGAGGCTGAGACAGCTGTTCTCTGCTACTAGAGTGATCCAGATGACCTAAATTAGGGAAGTGGCAGAGAACAAAAAGCAATCAATTCATCCTAGACACATCTAAGAGACAGAATGGACCCAGCTTGTGATTGAGTTGAAGTGTGTGGCATGTGGCTTAGGCAGGAGTGTTGATGAGGAAGGGGCAGGTGTCAAAGATAACCTTCTTCAGTTTTCTCCACTGAGAAGTTTGGCAGATGGTGGTTTTATTTACTGATGTTAGACTTAGAAAGGAAAGCAGGTGTCAGGCGTGTTTGGTTTGTAGTGTCAGTGGGACAGCCAATAGGCTAGAGACCAGTTGGCAACTAGACAAGTATGGGTCTGGAGCCACACCGAGAGAGGCACATTCAGATGCCAGCAGCCTATATGCAGTAGCACAGCATTGCCAAGGTCATCTAGGAAGTAACTGTGGAGTAAGAAGGGGGCTGATGAGAGAAACTTGAGGAGACCTGACGTTTAGCAATGGGTTGAAATACAGAGGTATTATATTGTCTAGAAGAATGAATGGGAGAGGATGCAGTGGGATGGCAAGGAAAATTTTTTTTTTAAGGAATTTGATTGTCAAGGTGTCAAGGGGCAGAAATGGGGGCAATGGCAGGAGGATCAAGGACATGGCTTTTTACAGATGGGAGAGACTCGAGCACACTTAAATGTCAGTTGAGAGGCAGAGATGGAAGACAACAAGCATAATGCACAGATGAGTTTCATGAGAGAAGAGGAAACAGCAGCAAGACGCTTCCTCCACTGAAATACCTCTTCCTTCGTAAGCTCTCACAGTCCAGGACAGGTGGTGAGACTGGGGTTTGGGAAGTAGGAAGTAGAAGGTTTAGTCCCTTGGTTGGGGTCTATTTTCTCTGCAATAGAAGAGGCATAAGAAGCAATGAAGTATGAGGGGGGACCCCATAAAAACTAGAATGTACTTATGAAAAACTGTGTATTTATTCTTACATGCTTAAACTTCAGTCACCTTCAAAAGTTTCTCCATTGGATGCAATACACCTATCAAGATGCTTTTTCCACGGTTCAAAACAGTTTTTGAACTAATCGTTTTGATGCCTTCTAGTGCTTCCATCATTTTTTGTTTCATTTCCTCCACAATGGCAAAATGTTTCCCTTTGAGGACTTTTTTCCATCGGGGAAACAAAAACAAGTCACTTGAGGTGAGATCAGATGAATAGGGAGGGTGGGGCATGGGGGGCATGCTGTTTTGGGTCAAAAACTGCGGAGCACTCAGCACGATGTGGACAGGTACCCTTGTATATCATTCATCATGAAATGGGCAAATGCATTGAAAGCATTTCCAAACAAAATTTTGCTAAAGCTGAGCGCAGCTTCTCACAACAATACTAGCTGGTACACTAATGCTGATGGGTTCCTACAACATTTACCTAGCAGGGGAAGCCTGTACTACAAAGGACCTGCCCTCTAAAAAATAATACCGATTTTTTTTGGGGGGAGGCTTCCCCTCATATGCTGAGAGGGCAGGTAGAATGAGGTTAGAATGAGAATGGGGACACTGTGAAATATAGTTGCCCTTGAACAACTTTGGGGCTAGGGGCAACAACAAGCCCCCACCAGCAGCTGAAAACCCACTTACAATTTTTGACTTCCCCAAATCTTAACTACTAGTGACTGACTGTTGGCCAGAAGCCTTACCAATAACATAAATGGTCGATGAACACATATTTTGTAGGTTCTATGTATTATATACTGTATTCCTTCAGTAAAGTAAGCCAGGGAAAAGAAAATGTTATTAAGAAAAATCATAAGGAAGAGAAAATGTATTTACTATTCATTAAGTAGAAATGGATCATCACAAAGGTCTTCATCCTTATCATATTCACCTTGAGTAAGCTGAGGAGGAGGAGGAGGAAGAGGAAATGTTGGTCTTGATGTCAGGGGTGGCAGAGGCGGGGGGGCGTGGGGGGCAGGAAGTGCATGTATAGGCGGACCCACACAGTTCAAACCCATGCTGTACAGGGTCAACCGTGGTGATCTAGGACTGAAATTCTACCAGCATGGTGTGTCAAAGGACAATTAGGTAAAAACTGGGGAGGGTGAAGGGGTAAAGGCTGTGGAGACTAGTTTCAGGACAGAAAAAAAAAAAGACAAGATTTATCTGTGCTATCAGGTTCTGTCTTCTAACCTGACCTGCCGAATTAAAACTTACTTGCCTACTTTTAAAACCATTTGTTCGAAGTGATGATATGGTCAATATGCTTTACCAACACACTCTCTACTGTATCATTCAAAGCCATGAATAAGCATTTTAAATAGCATTAGGTCATAACTCAGATAAACTCTTCCCCCAAACTATACCTGAACAGCTTTTCTTCATACAGTAGATTATTTCTCTTTGAGAATTAGCATGTAACAGTGCATTTGTCTCCTCAATAGCTGTATGGCCTAAGTCAGCAATTCCCAAAACACATCTGTGAAATATTGGCTTTATGGGATGTTAGTATTATTTGGATATAGAGCCAAGTGATTAAACAAGTATGAAAACAAAGTTTTAAAAAGTAGCTTTCTTGCAGGACTTTTCAGAGCCCCTGATATGCTAATCTATGCTGTGACTCAACAAGAAACCATTATAGTTTAATATAGCACACCACTGTTTATATGTAATTGAAAACAATGAAGAATTTTGTGGAATTAGAGAGTTTTACAATAATACTATGGGATGTTCTGTTTAAACCATAATTTCTTAATTTATCAGAAGTAGTTTGGTTTAAACATCTTTCAAGGGTGGGTAAGGTGGCTCACACTTGTAATCCCAGTGCTTTGGGAGGCCAAGGTGGGCAGGTTCAGCACAGGAGAATACTCAGGATTCTATGGTAGAAGGATCACCTGAGCTAGGAGGTTGAGGCTGTTGTGAGCCGTGATTGTTGTGATCATGCCACTGTACTCCAGCTGGGTGACAGAGTGAAACCCTAACTCAAGGAAAAAAACGTCTCTCAAACTAAGACAAATTTATTAACAAGTAAAAATATAATAATAATGACAGTAAAAAAAATAAAGGCTTATTGTATTTTATTTTCCATAAGTCCATGAATATAAATATTTAGTTTAAGATTTCTTAAATTGAAAATCTTGAAAATCTTTAGTCCTAACCAATTTAAAGGACTGGATTCTGTCTCTTTTGAACAATTATTCTCATAAATCTACTATTTTATACAACTAGAATCTTGAACAGCAGATAGTTTGAGTAAAAGTCTTCTTTTCTCATTATTTCTAAAGCTTGGCCTTATTCCCCAAATCAATTCATTGGAGAATTTCTGCAGCAAGCAAGACTTAGATGAGTATCAGCTGCACAACTGTGTTGAAATTGCCTCAGAAATGGGACCCCAAGTTCTCCCTGGTGCCTGTGAAAAGCTTATCATCAGCATGTCTGCCAAGCTATACAATGGAGCCGTGGGTGAGTTTCTACAGAAGCGCTCATATCTGTACAAATGCTTTATGGAATGTGAGTGAATCGATTTATTTTAGCATCCACTCCAAACAACAACCAAAATACCCATCGCCCAGTGATTAGATACACACAGCTGGTGAAATCATAAATGCACACTACAGTAAGTGTATAAAAGAGGAAGCTTGCAGTAACATTGGAATGCTAGATTAAGGGGACAGTGGTCCTAAAATATCCATTTGGAATCCTAGAATTTTAGGGCTAGAAAGACTCTAAACAATTTCTTTCATTCCAAAATCTTCCTTTAATAAATGAGAATATTTGGGCCCAGGATTATTATGTGATTTACCTGTTTCACTTGGCTACAGAGAAGGGTTTCTCACCCTTGATTGTTGAAATGTTGAGCTGGATAATTCTTGTTGTGGAGGCCCACCCTGTGTATTTTTGGATGTTTATCACCCATCTGATACGAGTATCACCATCTCCCAGTTGTGACATCCCAAAATGTCTCCAAAGTTTGTCCAGTGTCCTCTGAGAGACAAAATCATCCCTCATTTGAGAAGCACTGCTATGGAGTGACAGCTACACTAACAGGCTAGGCTTTCTGAGTTCCAGACAAATACTTTTCTCATTAGGACAGAGCTATGAATTCAATGTCCCAGTGTCTCATGCAATGTATAGAATTGGGGCAATCAAAAATTAGTAGGGCCAGGCACGGTGGCTCCTGCCTGGCTAATCCTAACACTTTGGGAGGCCAAGACAAGAGAATTGCTTAAGCCTAGGAGTTTGAGACCAGCCTGGGTAACAGTAAGACACCATCTCTCCAAAAATCAAAAATCAAAAAATTAGCCAGATGTGGTGGAACACACCTATAGCCCCAGCTACTCAGGAGGCTGAGGCAGGAGGGTTGATTGCATCCAGGAGGTGGAACCTGTGGTGAACTGTAATCATACCACTGCCCTCCAACCTAGGCAACAGGGTGAGACTCCAAGTCAAAAAGAGAGAGAGAGAGAGAAAATTAGTAGGTATGCTCTAGCACCAATATAGGACATCAGGAACTGAAGTCATAATACCAATAGTGATTAGAATAATTATTTAAAATAATTTATTTTAAACCTTTTAATTTGTTAAGTAATGTTTATTGTGCACTCTAGTGCCACTTTTCTAAGTACTTTGCAGACTGTATTGCCTTTGATCCTTACAGTAATCCCATGAGGTAGATCCTTTATTATTCCCCTTAACAGATGAAGGAGTTGAGGATTGGAGAAGTCTCATAGGAAGAAGTAAACTAAAGCTAAAGCTACTAACAAGGTAAAGTGTTTCTCTGCCACTCCCTTCACCTTTACCTGCCTCCTTTGTTCCCTACAGCCTGCAAATGTCATCCTCAGGGCTCATTTGGGTCCAGCTGCAGCCCACTTGGGGGCCAGTGCCAGTGCAAACCTCATGTGGTTGGGCGCTGCTGTGACAGGTGCTCAACTGGAAGCTATGGTCTGGGACATCATGGCTGTCACTGTGAGTAGCAAAACACATGAGGAGATGTTTTAAAAACAGACAAAGCGCTCAGCCTGTAATCCCGCGCCTTTGGAAGGCTGAGGTGAGTGGATTGCCTGAGCCCACGGGTTCGAGACCCGCCTGGACAGCGAGACCTCATCTCTA